CGTTCTGGCCCAGGAAAAAACAAGCGTATTTGTTAGCTACGCTCACCTTCCCGTCAGAGTTAACTGTCTGTTCGTGTTGTGGGAAGCAAATGCTCCGTGTGAGCGTGACCCCCAGTTCGCACACCACTGCTTGTGCAACACGATGATCTGTTCTGGCGCAGTCTCCTTTTGTGCCGTTTGTATATACAGGGAAACTTCTGCTCCTGCTTCCATTTGTAGTTAAGGAGAGAAGGTCTGCGGTGAGAATTAGGGCTCAGACCCTGCTGCTGACACCCGAGAGGGGATTTTTACCTTGCTCTGAAGGGAGAGGAGAGGCCACGTGGCAATAACCCTGAGCTGGAGTGAAGCATCAAGTAGTGATTTACGGTTGTTCTTCTAATCATACCGTCTCCATTGTGCATCTTCATTTGATGGTCCGTTGCACAGGACCAGGTACTAGATGAGATGGGATTTTGCTGTGAACGGGGGCGTGTGGAGAAGAGCTCTCGGAGACTGGGCAGATCTCTGAACCTCAGGCTCTGGTCAGTGGGAAGAACGAGTAGGTGCTGGGTGAAGAGAAGTGAATGCTGCTTAGAGCAAGGCTCTTCTCTCCTTGTCACGTCTAACGCTGGTAAATCACCGCGGCTGCTCGTGGTTTCTGTGGAGTTTTTGGTGCTTGCCTGGAGGGCAGAAGGGGAGGGTGGTGTGCCCTCCTCGCCGTCAGCCTGAGCTGGGAGGCCAGGGAAAGCATTTGGGGTTTGTGAGCGAGTGCACGTGCGTACGGGGTGCTGGAAAGCCTGCTGCATTTGGGAATTGTGTGCCAACACCCTGGGTGCCGGAGATTCGTGTGTTCCTGGATGGGATGCAGCTGTCTAGGAAGGATGGAGACGACTGCAGGGTCTGCCTTTAGTCCTGTCCCTGGCTAACGCCGGTTGAATTCCTCATCTGCTGGTACGGTGCTAGAGGTGAAATAACGCCGGGTACGGCATTCCCTGCCTTGGAGCGGAAAACGTAAGAATTATTGTGAGTCTGATACTGGTTCTGCCCAGCAGACCTGCGCGTGCTCGGTGGGGAGGTGAGAGGATGATGCGCAAAGCGGCCGTTTCAGCGGAGGTGGCCCGGGAGCTCGCGGTGCAGCGCAGCCGGTCGCCCTTGCTCTGGGGTCCGGGTCAGCGTTGGAGCACGGTGCGTTTGCCGCGCCGCGCTGTGCGGCCCGTGGCCGTTGAAGCCGTAGGCGTTCTGCCTGTGCCCATGGCACCCAGCTCTGGGTGTACCCAGGGGTGAGGGGTTTGGTGCGCCGCCCTGGGGTGCGGGAGCGTGGCAGCGTGCCCTG